TGTACCACCAAGCCGAGCACCTTCTATCCTTTAACACTAACATTCCTCTGCCACATAATTATTTATTCATTATATAATAACAGAATTTTAAAGCTGGCATATATCTAACTTTACCTACTCTAGTTCATCTACTATTTAAGGCTAAACACAAGCTTCTTATTTCCCCATTACCTTTTCTCCTCTTACACAGTCCTATCTACATAAAAGGAAGTTCCAGACAGATATTTGATATTTAACATTTTATACTCCATTCATTCCTTAACAGTCAATGTTTTGCTTCTTCGATGTAGGTGCTCCATCTAGTGGCAGATGATCAGTTTAGGCAATGTAGTCAAACTTTTAAACCATTATTTCCATCCTTCAACATTGCCAGCCCTGCCATGGCCTCACTGAATTTCTAGTGAGGCCCAGGGTTTAAGAATAGACTGTTAGGTGACAACATTTCCCACACTTATACACCACTCCAGGCCACAGGTCTGGGGACATTTTTTAATGTCTCCGAGACTTAGTTTCCTCATAAGTAAAATGGGAATAATGCACCAAGCATCACAGGGTATCTAAATGCATGTAAACCACTTAGTTCAGAATCCGGAGTAAATTCTCTTCCTATCCCTATCTACTCTTTATTTTCATCCTCTGTGAGGGGCTAATTTTCAACTGCTTTCATCACTTACTCCCCTTTTCTCTAGTTTCCTGTGGGGTCAAATGCACATTCCCTAGACCTTCCATTATTTGCCTTTCCCCAATCTGATTTTTCCCTATTCCCAGGCAAAGGAGGCACCCTAATCAAGTCAGTCCTTACATGAACCAAGGGTGGTTAGTACTGTTTTATCCCCTTCTTCAGGCTCACAAAAAAATCACACTTTATTGCTCTCTTCCAAGTCATGTAAGACACCAACTCCACAAACCTTAGATTAACTAACAGCACAATCACCTTTCCTTTACAGCCTCATGAAAACTTACCTTATATTAACTCAGAATTTTTCCAGTTATTTTTTGTGCACAAAAGGTACTGTCACATGACCAAGTTATCTGCAATCCTATAAAGGACATGCACTATGTTTTTAGCTTTTAACTATACCATAGTAAACTTTAGGCACTTTAAACTGTTAGTACTATTTATTTTTAATATATACATTTACACCTGAGGTCTAAAGCAGTGATCATTTTTATTGACTTTTTTTTTACACTTAGGAAGTGACCTTTAAAAAAATTAAAAAGTGAAAGACTAAGTAGAACACCAAATAAAATCCTAAACAGGACGGAACTCTAGATTTACAAAAATAAAATACCAAAAGTTAAAAACAAAAACCCAACAATGTACTTGTCACAAAACCCAAGGGCTGATACTTTTTATTTAAAATAATGATCAAGCCAGGTGTGGTAGTTCACCCCTATAATCCCAGCACTTGGGAGGCAGACATAAAAGTACTTCAAGTTTAAGGCCACCCTGGGTTACAAAGCCAAGTTCCAGGCCAGCCTGAGCTATGAGATTGTGTCAAAAAAACAATAAATTAGAATAAAATAATGATCATGCAATGGGCATCTGAAAAGTCAACGCATTAAAGCAGAAATCTTCAACAACTTTTTATGCCTGTAATAACTAAAAGCTAGAAAGTGTCTTAGCTAACACCACAACTTTCTTTTCTGTTTACATTTTCAGAGACTAACTAGAGAACTTTTATACATAAGAAGTCATAAAACCTTAAGAGAAAAATATTACCATTAAGCATGTCAAAAATTTACTAAAGTTTCACAGTCAAAATCACCTGCTCACCAAATAAAATATTCCAAGCAAATTGAAATGAACACTATAATAACTAGGGCTTTTGGAGTAAGATTTTAACCTCTGTTAAACCATTTACTATGTATGGGATCTCAAGCTCCTTAAACTGCAATGGCCTTGCTTGAAGAATGAGGACTAAAAAAAACCACTCCCTCAAAAAAGTATTCTGAGAAATTAATAGTAAATATGAAGATGACTTATAAATTGGAATGTCCTAGATTTTGTTTATACACACATACCTGCAAACCTAATGGATGAGGACTGCTCAATTGGTCCTTTTTAATTCTTTGCTTTTCAGAAAGGATGTAATTTTCTTTTTTTCCCTATGCTCGTCTAAGTCCCTCCTCTTTGAATCTGTAGATTCATCACTTCTTTCATAGGCAGGGCTTAACAGCATAATTTTTACTTTAGTTTTGTTACTATTAATATGTTTTTAAAAAACAAACATCAAAAATCAGACTGCTCACAAGAGTCACTGGCTTCTCTGACTGTCATCTTGTAAAGGTAGGAGCATGTGTCCATAAATGGCCAGAGGCTGCTGGACAGCATTCCAGCTTATTACTCAGGTTTGTTTGTTGTGATACCTTTAAGTCTTGGGCCACAATAGCTTCATCCTTATCCTGTTTGCTCACCACCAATTTATGATGCACACAGACTTTACGACAAGCTGCCCAGAGCTTGCACAAATTTCCCAGACTCAAATTAAAAATGAAGGTCTTAATAAGTCAATGGACTTATTATCTGTTCACAATGCCTAGATACTTCCAGTGGAAAGTGGCTCCCTCCTTACTTGAGGCAAGCAGACACCAAGAATATAGGGAGAAAGCATAGTGAAAGATGTCAAAGAAATACTGAAAGATCCAGGCTCTCCTCTGTGACTCTGGGCTATAATCCAACAAACACTTATCAGTATCAACTAAATAGTGCAGTCTCATATAATGGATGAGAAGAATCCAGGTCACCTAAAACCTAACTACTTTCACAGGAATATAAAACAATTTTTGAAAGAAAATACTTGGGAAAAGCCCTTATAACTTCCAAGTACCTAATAAAAAGTTCTTAAAAGGGTTAAGAGAAAATTAAAATATATAATTAGGGAGATTTATCTCAAACATACTGCTCTCCCAAAAGTCAGAATGTAGATTATTCACTAAAATATATTCTCTAAATATCCATTCACTAAGAGATACTTCTATTGTTGGCACCAAATATATCTAAATACTTTGCCTCAAAGATGTGTCAAAATGTCTGACAACCCTTAAGAATATGTAGAGACCTGCTGGATCTGGACAAAGACATGCTCAACGAGATTCCAGTAGCGAAGAAGACAAAAGCAAAAAAGGATTCTGATAATTATGCCAGGACAATGCGAACAAACTAGGAAACAGGAAAATATGGTTAGCCTACCAGTGGCAAAAAGCACAACTGGTGAACTGCTTGTCCAATTGTTTCTGATCCTGGTGCCAGGTCATATGCTAAGGTATGATGGCTGAGAGCATCCCCACTCACTCCAACAGTCTGGGATCTCTTCCCAAACACATTCTGCTTGGCTGCCTTGGAAGCATTAACTCTTCTCACTGCCATGGCACCTTCTGGTTCTGCTGTCCAGATGACCCTGTGCCATAATTACAGACAGCCAGCCTGGGGGGTCAAGCAAATGTCCCCAAGAACCACCTGGGGTTCCCTCTGTGCTTTGAGCCATCAGAATCATAAGGATGCCTTAGCCATTGTCAACCACCAAAATCTGAAGCATCTAAAACATCACCAGAGAAACTACCCCAGAGAAACTGAGGATCTCCACCCACAAGTGACTTAAGAACATCTCTCAAGGGACCCACCATTATTCCCACAATCCTTACGCTAATATACACCAACAATCATTTTAAATTTCCAATGCCACAGCCCCAAATAGGTCTGATGCCAAACCTACTTCTGAGGCTGTATTTGCTCCCTTACAGTTACCAAACAGGCTTTACAACCTCAAAGGTGTGTCAAGAGAATACTCAGTGCCTTCCCAGCCTTTGCTAGTGATTGCCACCACTGATCCAATAAGGTGGCTGAACCCTGCTGCTGCCAACACCACTCTCTGACCTGTCCTGCTGAGTCAAAACCCTCATACCACTGTGGCAGTGGTGAGAGCTCTCTGAAAAGCCACTAGAACTTCTGTAGGGAAATAAACCATCCTGTCACATCACACCTAACAGAGAACAACATCTTCTGAGAGGCAGCTCTGATTCAGGCAGCCTCGAGCCTAGCCTTCAATGCTATTTCTCTACAGCGTCAAGTCCAAACAGGTGGGGTATGTCCATGAGTTAGATGGACCCACTCTCTAAATTCAAGGCGCTTCTAGTATCTTTCTTACAGCTCTCACTATTGTGCATACAGACTAAGCAACATCTAGGAGTGTTCAGATGTCTTTGCTATAAAGAACTCTCCACCAAAATTCTTCCTAACCTCCCATAAGTTTACAATGTGTGGAAAAAAAATGTATATGACCAGTCACAATCTCCCAAGTCAGTGAAGTACTCAGGGACATCAGACAGTAACCTTGGGCTACTCCTCTAAGGCCCCATTAAGACTATGAACTCCATGAGTAAAACTGGCTGCTGAAAGCTGAGTCAACCACTAAGCCAAAGAATGCTTATTCACAAATGTCACAAGAAAAAAAAAAAAATCACCAAACAAAAGTAATTGGCCTGGCTGGCTAGCAACCAACTCTCAGTCACACAATGCAATGGTGAAGGAAAGCAACTAGTGTGCCCACAGGACTAAGATGAGGTAGGAGAGGCAGATACAAGGGTGTTATTCCAATCATTCCATAACAGAGACAACCACAGCCAGGGAACTACTCAGGAAGCAGCAAAACTTACTCCTGTAAACAAACTCCCACATACTAGGTTAAAATTTCTCAGGAAACTTTATCATCAGGGCTTTAGTCATACAAGCAAATGGATAAGCAACAAAGCTATAATAAGAGGGTTTTTTAAGTTTTGCTTTTGTTTCTTAAATAATAGCAACAGGGAACTTTAGTAAGAATTACATAGTAAAAACCAGACCTGCAAACATTACCAGAAAAAAAAAAAAAAAAGAAAAGGAAAAGAAACCCACAAAGATGAAAGGAATAGCAGAAAATGATTTGGGAAAACTAAGTACATCAAAGACCTGACAGAAGGAGAATGCTAAAAACCGCAGGACCCTTCCTTCAATACCATACCTTATCAATGGCTTTTCCAACCCGCGACACACTGCTATGGATGTCTTTGTGGTCTGAGGCCAATTTTTGAACAGTGTCCTTTATTCTTTTACAGCACTGGGTCAAAACAAGTGAAAGTGTCCCTGATAATTCAGCATCTTGACCTATAAAAAGAAAGAAAGGTTGGTTACTCACCAAAGCAAACCCAAAGATGGTAAGCAGACCCTTTGAAATATGAAAGATGAGAGAAAGTAAAGAAGAATCAGTACTGCTTTGAAACCAATGGTCACATTCGTAGAGGTTACTTTCAAGTGAATATTAGGAAAGATATCTTACTTTATTTTTGGAAATAAATTTCCTATGAAATAAACCACTTTCCTAATAACAGAAACATCACAGACCACATACCACCACGACATTGTTCTTTTTTAGAAAACATGCTTATACTTAAGCACGAGCTCATTTTTTTAACTTACAGTGTTTTAAGTCATTCTTGTTCTAGATTTCCTAAAGAGAGATGTTTTAGTCTATTCACTTTATATCCAACATAAAGAAGCAGAAGAAAAAACAAACTTCCTTGGATACTTGATGTGCAAAAAAAGTTAAGATGGTCGGCCCAGGACCGCTATCCTTAAAGTCTCATTGGCATAGCTGATGGGCATCTGGAATTCTTGGAGTTCAGGAGTGTTTCCACCATTCCCTAACTGGTAAGAATGGCTCACCGTGTACAATGTGGTTTAGGGTGAGTATCTGCTCTCCTAGAAATCTGGAAGTTTGAAGCATGCTAGGTAGAGGGTGCGTGAATAACCAGCCCTAATAAAGACCCAGGGGCTCAAGTGGTAAGAGCTTGCCTAGCAAAAGCAAGGCCCTGAGTTCAAACCCCAGTACAGTAGTGGAGAGGGAGGAGGAAAGAAGAGCCTGAGCTTCTAATAAGCTTCCTTCATTTACAACACTTCATATTTGTCACAACTTGTTCCAGGAAGAATTAACATGTCCTGTGTGACTCCACTAGGAAAGGACACCTGGAAGCTTTCTCCTGGCTTCCTCTGGACTTTGCCCTACAGGACTTTTTCCTTTGCTGATTTTCCATTCTACTCATTTGCTATATAGCAAATCTTAACCACAAGGGCTAATAAATGCTGGTGGTAAAGGTCTTTCTGTGAATCACTGGACCTAGGAGTGGTCTTAGGATCCCTGACACTTGATAAAGCCATGATGGCTATTACAATTTTATCTTCTTTTTATGCACTACCTCCCTCCAAACTGTTTTCTAGCAGGAAAAAGGGATGAAGAGAAGGGGGAGAAAGAGAGGACAGATCCAATTAAGCTATTTTTCAATTATCTATATCTACATATTCTCACCATTAAGCAAACAGGCCTGGTTTCTGATATCCTTCCCAGTATTATACTGCCTGGAGGCCTAGTTAAAGTAGCCGGGCCCCTTTCCCAAAGTTTCTGATTCAATAGGTGGGGGTCTAAGAATGTGAACAAGAACAAGCCCAAGAATACTCAGCCCAGGAGTTGTCTATCCATTTAACAAACATGTGACAGGTATAGCAGTGAAACAGAATAATCAAAAGTCCCTGCCCTAGAACTTACCTTTTTGTGAGACATACAAACAACACAACAAATGAACAAATTATGTTGAATGTTAAATATTACATGCTACTGGAGGGAAGGGAAGCAGGGTAAGAGTTGGGGGTGTGGGTCCAATCACTGCAAGGCACAGGGAAAATAGACATGGGTAGGCTTCCCTGAGTAAATGACATGTGAGCGTAGACTTCAAAGAAGTAAAAGAATTACAAGATGAGGAGACCAAAGCCCTTCTGCCGCTGGGCATGGTGAATGCCTACAATCCCAGAACTCAGGAAGCTGACACAGGAGGATCACAGGCCAGCCTGGTCCAGAAAATGAGACCCCCATCTCAAAACAAAAATTCTATTGCTGAAATATACCTAGACTATTTGAAGAATAGGCCAGTGTTTCTAATGTAGATTTCTGGCAAAGGAAAATAGCATGAAAAGAGGTCCAAGAGACAACAGGGTCCTACTTAGGGGGCTCTTTTTGGCATTGTAAAGACTCTGGCTTTTATTTTTACCTTTGCCACTGCAAGGTTTTGAGCACACGAAGTACCTAAATTGACAGAGGTCTGATGACAGAAGTGCAAGAACACAAGCAGGGAGACAAGTCAAGAGGCAGTGGCAACAATCCAGATGAAAGCTGATGGAAATGGCCTAGGATTTCCTGACTAGCTATGAGGAAGAGGATTCACACTGTCTCCAAGATTTTTAGCCTGAGTCAACCATAAAGATGGAGCTGTTTCCAATTAAGGTAAAAAAGAAGCCGGGTATAGCGGTACATGCCTGTAACCCCAGCTACTCAGGAGATAAGCAAGAGGATCACAAGTTCAAGGTCAGGTCCAACAAAAACCAAAGGGCTGGATATTTAATTCAGTGGTAAAGTGCCTGCCTACTATATGCAAAGCCCAGGGTTCAATCTCCAGTACCACAAGGAAAAAAAAAAAGAGGTAAAAGACTAAAGGCTTAGCAGGTCTGAGGAGCTAGAAGAGATTAAAAAGCTCAATTTGGGACTTGTTAAACTTGAGACATTGAAGGTACGCCAATGCATATGTAGGAGTCAGCTGAATATACGAACATGGAGCTCAAGAGCAATGTCAGGGCTATGGACACAAATTTATGAGTCACTGGCATAGAGACAATTGTTAAAGCTGTGAGACTAAGTGATCACCAAGACGGTAAGCACTGATGCAGAGAAGTGGTAAAAGGCTGAGATGACGTGGGATTGGAAAGGAGATTGACGAATGACTCCTAGAGCACTACCTGGTGGGGAGGAGAATCAAGAAAGTATGGGGTTTGGAAATCCAGGTGAAGAAAAGTGCCAAGGTGGAGGGACTAACCAAGTTAAATACACTGCTAAGTCAAGTAAGACGCAGACTGAGAACCGGCCACTGGATTTTAAACATAAAGTCACCAGTGACCATGACAAGAACAGTTTCTCTGAAGTTTCAAGAAAAGAAATCCTAGAAGACTGTAGGGACTATGAAGAGGGAATATAGTAAGTCTGAGTCAAAGACAACCACTGAGAGAAATAAAAAAAGCAAGTAAACAGAAGGTAGTGTTCAATTCAACATGGGGTGGCCAAAACAGAAAATGTCCTGGTCTCTAAATACAATTGCACAAAGTTTAAATCAGATTCTTCCAACTTCTATCAACATAATGTAGGCTAAGGGAAGAGGTGGTACTTCAGGAAAAGTTTAAGTTCTTTCGTAAAGGTATTCCACACACTCTTTGGAACTTGAGTTCAAACCCAATACCACAAAACAAACAAACAAAGAAACAAGAACTAACCCCTTCTGGTCTGTGCTAAACCTAATGGCCTCACCTCACCTTTTCTATGAACCTCTCTGTCCACACAGTCACCCCCCTGTTCTGAATTCCTGGTAGCTTCTCTTCTCTCCACCACTCCTCCAGCTCTTAATTAAATACCATTTAACAATTCATGTATCTGTGCCATCATCAGCCTCAACTAAACATAAGCCCTCAAGGGGAGACAAAGTTCTAACTACAAACTGTATACTCCACAATTTCACGTGGATAATGCCTGCAAACATGCAAGTCACAAGATGAGAATTTGGACTGATGGTAAATAAAGCAAGGGGAAATAACAGATAAAAGCCATATTCAACAAACGGTGCCAGAACAAGAGAGTCACAATGGAAAGAAGCACATCAAATATCAAAATTAAGTCAAAATGGAATAAAGACCTAAATTAAAAGCTGAAAGTTATCAGCTACTTTTATGAAACCAGGTGCATTCTTGATCCTGGTTTAGTCAATGGCTTCTTAAATGACACCAAAAACACAAGCAAGCACAGAAAAGAGATAATAAAGCTGCACTTCATCAAAATTAAAAACACTACTCTCACAAAATGGGAAAAAATATTTGCAAATCATATTCTTAATATATTCAGAATGTACTAAGAACTCTTATTGGACAGGTGCAGTGGCTCACACTGTAACACCAGCTACTCAGGAGAGAGACTGGGAGGATAGTGAATGGAGGACAGCCCAGGCCAAAAAAAATAGTCAATGTCTCCAAAACAAGCTAAGCAGGGTGGCATGCTCCTATAGTCTCGGCTACTCCAGAGACAAAGTTAGGAGGATCACAGTCCCAGGCAAAAAACAAGAGACCTTAATTGAAAAATAACTTAGAAACAAAAAGAAAGATGCTTAATATCATTAAATATTAGGGAAATGCAAATCAAACTATAAAAAAAAAAACCCATTACTTCACACCCACAATGATGGCTACACTGAAAAGAAGGCAGTAAGTGTCACCAACAATGTGGAAAAACTAAAAGCAAAACAATCAGAAAGTCAAGAGTTACCATGCGACCCAGGAATTCCACTCTGAGGTACACAGACAAGATAAATGAAAACCTGTACAAAGTTTGTAGCATTACTCCTAAGAGCCAAAAAGTTGAAACCACCCAGTTGTCTGATTGATGAGTGGGTAAACAAAGTATAGTATTTACATACGATACATATACTTATATACTTAGTTATAAAAAGAAATGAAGTACTAAAACACACTGCAACACGGATGAATCTTGAAAATATTACATTAACAGCAAATAAGCAGAAACAAAAAGCCACATATTGTGTGAAATGTCACATAGTATATGAAATGTCCAAACTAGGCAAATCTATATAGCAAAGAGTGGACTGGTGGTTGGCAGGGGCTGGAGGGAAGGTAGAATGGAGTGAATGATCGTTAATGAGTATAGGGTTTCTTTTTTTTGGGTGATAAAAATGTTCTGGAATTAGGTAATGGTTATGGGTGCACAACTCTGGATACAGTTAAAAACCACTGAAATGTACATTTTAAAAAGGTGAATTGCAGAGTAAGTAAATTATGTCTCAATTTTTAAAAAACCTTAAAGAAATCCAGACACATTTATTTCTACAACTAGTCAAAGGTTAAAGAACAAAAAGCAAAAGCCAGCTGGAGGAAAGGGATCATCTGGAATTTCCTGACCAAATGCCATATACCAACCTTGAAACCCTATTTTCAAGTAGTAACAACTCAGATATCTGGAGTCGGATGCTATTACTTCCTTTCCTTTCTTTACTATTTATAAATTC